TTATATCGTTACTGGTGGTAGGATGTCTTGTGAGTCCGCACGGGTAGGTACCACCATCCTACCTATTTCTGTCGTGAAGCCATTTCGGTTTGAAGGGTGGGGCAGCCGTTGTAATGTTAAAAGTGAGATCTTCCAAATCATGTCTCAAGGTGGGTGGTGGCATTTACGTTGTAGATATCTATGGGCTCGTCCATCCATTTAAGCAATAAAAAAAATGTTAATTTATATTTCGTGATAATCAAAATGTCTTTGTTTTTCACTGAGAGCCCTGTTCTGTTAATTAATTCTATTGCGCCTAGGCCTGTTGGTGGTTGCATCAGAATTCCAGAAGCGGTCAGGTTGGTTTGCCGCGGATCTCGCACATCGGCATCTCGGCTGTCTCTTTCTTATCATAATAAGTTAATTGACGCTAAAAAGGGACGCTAAAACTTTCGATTGTTTAATAATTATCGTAATACCAGTTCCAACTGTATTTTCGTATTAAGACGTAGGTAAGTACATTGAGGTTTCCGTTGATAATGTAAATTTAATTGCACTTCTTATCGAGACGTATTTTTAAATTTCTTTACATGGGTAAACAGCGGCATAACTTTTATTTTTCATTGCTTAGATAGATCTTTACTGGTGGTAGGACCACTTGTGAGTCCGCGCGGGTGGGTACCACCACCCTGCCTATTTCTGCCGTGAAGCAGTAATGCGTTTCGGTTTGAAGGGTGGGGCAGCCGTTGTAACTGTACTTGAGACCTTAGAACTTGTATCTTAAGGTGGGTGGCGCATTTACGTTGTGGATGTCTATGAGCTCCAGTAACCACTTAACACCAGGTGGGCTGTGAGCTCGTCCACCCATCCAAGAAATAATAAAAAAAATGGACGAGCTCACAGCCCACCTGATGTTAAGCGGTTATCGAAGCCCATAGACATCTACAACGTAAATGCCGCCACTTAACTTAAGATATGAGTTCTCAGCTTTAACAGTACAACGGCGACCCCGCTCTTCAAACCGAAACTCGTTACAGCTTCACGGCATAAATAGGCAGGGTGGTGGTACCAACCCGCGTGGGCTCACAAGAAGACCTACCACCAGTAATTACGCAAATTATAATTTGGCGGGTTTGATTTTTATTACACGATGTTGTTATTCCTTCATCGCGGAAATCAATCGTGAACATTTGTTAAGTACGTATTTCATTAGAAAAATTGGTACCCGCCTGCGGGATTCGAACACCGGTGCATAGCTACACACGAATGCACCAGGCGACTTATCCTTTTAGGCCACGAGAACTTCAGAATAGCTCAGATGTTGAACGAGTGCAGTGGAAAACTTTATGAAACCTTACTGCCATATAGTCCTAGGATTAATTAACCGGACTCAAATTAGGCTTCAGCGGCCTTCAAGAACTAGATCTCTTCCAAAAGCACTACCATGGAAGGACGCGGGACCCCACCATGTGTATTTTCACAAGAAAGCCTCATGAGGCCACGACCCTCAGCATTGAGGATTATTGATGCAAGGAGAGAGGTCCTAGGAGTACAAATTACAATATCCTATTAATTCCATAGCCGGATGAACGAGCTCACGACTCGTTGCTAAGCGGTTCCCGGAGTCCTTGGACATCACAACGCGCATGGAGGCTCCTATCTTGAGACACGAGGTTGAAGTTGCTGTTGTATTCTTGGACACCTAAGAGCTCAAGGGCAGCTGCTTCGCTACCGGGTCAAAATCTCGACCCGCTGAGAAAATCCGACGGGAAACTTAGCGGGCGAATGTCTCATATATTAGATTAGATTTCATATTGCACGGGGTTGCGACCTGCCAATAGAGACGATCAAAAAACAAAGTCAAATGAAAGCAAAATTCAATATTGTTTTTATTAATGAAAACCAATTTAATTGGTTTTTAAAGTTTATTAAATTAAGACAATTAAGAAACTGGTTTCTATAAATTGTCATGATAATTAAGAAGCAAGTGGACTATGCCTATTGTTGTGATTTCGTTTCTGTTATATATAATATGACTGGCTCGGTGGAGCAGTAGTTAGTGGCCCTGACTGTTGCGCCAAGGGTCGTGGGTTCGATTCCCACATCAGGAAAAAACTGTGTGATGAACAGATTTGTTCGCTCTATGTCTGGGTTTTTATTATCTATATATGTATATATTTTAACGTATATAAGCATGTTTATTAGTCTCTGATGCCCATAACGCAGGGAGTCCGGTCATCGTCTTCGTCGAATCCGTCGCTTGCGACGAAGGGCTCGACGAGTAAATTAACCCTCAGACACAGCCCACTGAGTTTCTCACCGGATCTTCTCAGTGGGTTGCGTTTCCGATCCGGTGGTAGATTTTGCGAAGCACTGCAGTTGCTAGGGCCAGTGTTAGCAACACTCCCAGTTTGAGCCCTGTGAGCTCACCTGAACGTCAAGGAGAAGCTGAAATAGCCTCTCAAGGCTATCAGCATAAGTAGGAAAAGAAAAAAAAGCAGTGAATCCTAAATTGGGACCGGATGACCGTGCGTGATTTTTCCCGGTTATTATTCTTCTTCCTAGCGTTTTCCCAGTCTAATACCAGGGTTAGCTTTCCTACTTAAACTCCTCCACTTTGCTCGGTCTTCGGCATCCTTCAGAGGTGATTCTTCTCCACATCCTCTTCCCAGTTGGATATCAAATTTCATTATTCGCCATTACCACATCCAACCAGCGCTCTCAATTATTTTTGTTAGTAATTATTATAATATCAAAATTGTATTACATAATAGTGAAATAATGTAATATGTACGTCATGTGTCCACAAATGGTTAGTCGAGAATAGTCGAGATTGTTAATAAGGACATGCTTGTATTGAGAAATATTATGTAAAAGATGCGATAAAAATTTCTTATTTCCATTTTGAGGTCGAAGTGGTCTAAAAGATGAGGCGTTCGGTGCATTCGTATCTAGCGATGCAACGGTGTTCGAATCCCACAGGCTGGTACCAATTTTTCTGATGAAATACGTACTTAACAAATGTCCACTTTCACGGTGAAGGAATAACATCGTGTAATAAAAATCAAACCCGAAAAGTTATAATTTGCGTAATTATTGGTGGTAGGACTTCTTGTGAGTCCGCACAGGTAGATACCACCACCCTGCCTATTTCTACCGTGAAGCAGTAATGCCGAGCCCTTCATCGCAAGCGACGGGTTCGGCGGTATTATATGATGTTATTCCTTCACCGTGGAAGTTAATCGTGAACATTTGTTAAGTACGTATTTCATTAGAAAAATTGGCACCCGCCTGCGGGATTCGAACATCGTTGCACTGCTTGATACAAATGCTCAAGAATCAATTATTCCATGTAAGAGGACGCACGATTGCTTTGCTGCTGAAATAGGCAACGGCAGCTACAGTTCAAAACACTACTGTTTTTTTGCACGCACCTCGTGACGCGGGTAACATCTAAACCATCACCTGATTCAAATTTAGCACGCAAATATGTGCCTTACAAAATACATGTGTTTTCTACTATATATATATCGTAATTATTTTGTCTTCATTTTCGATAACGGTCCATTCACATCCGGCTTAAGCTATTTACATATTATTTAACGGAATGAGGTCTATTGAAACAGCTAGCCTAAGCTTAGTGTCTCCTAGCGCGAACTATCAAAAATAAGTGATTAAAAGTCAACATTATTATTGTCAAAGTTGTCGATTATGGTTATTTTATTTATTTAATATGAGCAGGTTAGTTCTCTGTCGTAAATAACGCTGCCTATCTTCTGGGATTGCCGAAGTAACAATTGCATAATAAAGGATTTCTATTTTTTGAGTTAGCACTCATTTATGGCAGGAGGTGGGTTGGCCTTTATGGAGTGATATAGATTAAGTTGAATTGGAACTTATAGCTAAATTAAACAGAAGCCTACTGTTTTTGGAACGAAGTTCCATAAGGGATGATACGATACCCTAACCGGGAAAAAACGTCCGTAACGTAAGATTTTATGTTTGTTACCTCATAACTTTTGACTAGGTGAATCGATTTTGATGATTCTTTTTTATTAGACAGCTGACGCTTTCCGTGTGGTCTTATTTTAATTTAGTCCAGTTCTGATAATGGTATCCATGAGAAAACCATATAAGCCTTAAATTTGCATTAAGTACGTGCGCGACAAATAGATGAATAACTCAATATCACGCCAACCGATTTCGATGATTATTGTTTTTAGTGTATTATCATTTGTTTTGTAATATCTTTTTTTTTATCAATAAAAAAATCATAGTAAAAAATAGTTATTTTCTTTATACCTCGAATAGAACTTCAAATTAATATTTTTATAATAAGGAACTTCGTTCCTATCTGGTGTCCCACGACACCAGCATCTTTTTTTTTTGTAGTTTAGCTTTAAATACACATTAATAACAAACATGTTTTTAATTATTTTTTAAATATATGACTCGCTTCAGACCCGACCCGTACTTGGCAAGCATTTACGATGCTCATTAATTGTTGTATGCTGTATTTAAATTAAGTACATATCGCACCTTTAAAATTATAGACTCATTTTGAAATATTTGGATTTCGTCTTTAATTCAAAAATTGACCTAGAACGATCCTTTTCAGCGACTTTTAGTAATCAAATGACCTTAAGTATCTTATAAAAGGACAAAGCTATCTATCTGTCTCTTTCACTCTGTCCCCTTCCTCTACGTTTTTTCGGGTTCAGAACTTTAATGGATGTTTTCCAAAAAACACATTTTTTTAGTTGGGTCTTTATAATTCTAAAGGTGCGATATGTAAATAATTAAATACAATTCCATAATTTATGAATAGAATATCATCGGACAAGCAAAGGCGTCAGTAAACGAATTCCACGAAAACATTATGAAAACAAAAATCTGCGAATTAACATAATTTTTTGTAAATAAACTCACGTCACATTATAAGTGCATCGGCACAGATGAATAAATTACACGCAGATAATTAGGATATTGTTTAGAAAAAAAAAAGAAAAAAAAAAACTTACCTGTCATATTAAGGGCCTCTTCGAAGGGAACTCTTGCAATTTTGACCACCATTTTTTCTCAATTAAAAAAATAAATGTATATTTTTTTTTTTCAAAAGAACCACTAAACTTCACTGATATGGAAACAATGTTACAGTCAAAATTCTTGATGCATTTAAAACATGGTAATGTCCGTTCATCTCCGAGCGCGGTGCTATTTTAACCCTTATCGCTTTATGTTACGGCTTATTATTTATTTTGTCGTGCTGCAAACGTCTGCTCTGCGAACGCGAATGAAATGCTTTGCTTCTGCCGCCCTCGCTAAGTATATGTGTTGTCCGTCAGCGATCGTTCTCTGCTGGAGTAGGGCTAAGATCGTTTTACTATAGCCTTGTTTTGTTAAGTCACTGAATTGCGTAATTATACGTACAATTGTGCGTATTTTTTTTCGATAAATTTGGTATTTTCTTTGGAGCGTGCTGCCAATTTAAGATTTTTTTCAAGGAAAAGTTTTTTTTTTATGATTGCATGATTAATAGTGGCCCGGAGGCCTATGCAGTTTCACCAGGACAGGTGAGCGAGCAAAGGCTCAGCCAGGAGGGCTGGGATCTGCTAACAGCTGCCCGAGCGCCTCCGAAGGAGACCTAACAACTCAAGAGCAACTGCTTCGCGAATGAATCTACTACTGGATCGGAATCGCGACCCGCTGAGAAGATCCGGCGAGAAACTCAGCGAGCTGATGCATGGGTCAAGGAAAAGTATTTTGGTACGTGTTAATGAGTTTTTAAATCATATGTATGCAATATTTGGAGTGTAAAGAATCTTCTTCAGGAGACGTATTGGAAGTAAGTTAGGGACGAGAATTGAAAATACAATGTTAAGGGCAAATATAGGAATAACTGTATACAAATTATGTTCCGAACTGCAACTGATTTTAATTGTATTTGGGTGCAATAAAAAAAAGAATTCAGCACAGTATCAGTCAAAAACTTGAATCGGACTAGCGATATTAATACGCTTTTATTAGCTTCAGACGTATGTATGTTTGTAACGGAATCTTTGAACATGATTTTGCCCCCTTCAAAACGTCGGATTAACTCGAAATTGGGTATACTTATAAAGGACCGACGACAGTTAAAAATTTAAATACAATTTTGAAAAAAATATATTGAAAAAATTTAAATTCAACTAAAAAATGAAAAATTAATAATAGCTTAAAAAAACTAACAAAATACATGGTATCAGTAGTTATAAATATTTTATGAACAGATATGAGTGGAAGGGTTATTTTGATAATATTCTGAGAAGCCCCCACGGTTTTTTTACAATAAAATCATTTCTTCTTACACTTTTTTTAATTCAAATTTATTAAAATTTATTTTCAATTTTTTAGTTGGATTTTCTATAACAAACGTATTTTGTTAGTTTTTTTAAACTATTGTTTATTTACCAGATAAGTTTTCATATTCCGAACAACAACATAGGAGCAACAAAGGAGATGCATACACGCGGTGACATCCAAATAAATTTGCTGCGGCCGTTCTTTTTTAAAGTGTTATTTTTAATAATCATGCCCCGAAATTACTATTCACTCCACTGAGTTTCTCGGGACGCGTTTCCGATCCGGTGGTAGATTCTGCGAAGCACGGCTCTTGCTAGGGTTCGTGTTAGCAACGTCGTCAGGTTTGAGCCCCGTGAGCTCACCTACTAGTTAAGGTTACGCTGAAACAGCTTCTCAAGGCTATCAGCTAAGGTAGGAAAAAAAACCTATTCACTGTACTATGCGCATCGGGGACTGATATCTGTATTTAAATATGTTTTAAACTACATTCAGTAATACAAATATTAAACACCCACATTCAGTGCATACAAATGATTTCGTCACAAGAATGTTTAGGCGTGGTGGTAATCAAACCCATGGGCCTGAGCCTGACAGTTGGAGATACATTGCTACTACGTCATCGAATCAGCCAAGATAGGAAGGGTTATATAAGTTTTAGATCGCGATATAATCTATAAGACCATAATAAGGCCTGCTCTTATGTATGGCAGCGAAACATGGACAGTAATACAAAAGGAGCGTGCATAGTTGCTGAAATGAAGATGATGAGGTGGATGTGTGGAAGCCTCCGTGTACGGAAAACATAAATAAAAAATAAAGTTAAACTTGGGGCATCAATAGGGCTGGTATAGTACCAAAAATAATATGTTTTGTTTCTTTTTATTCTGTAGACGGGTCAATAAACTCACGGTCCACCTGCTGTTAAGTGGTTACCAGAGCCCATAGACATCAACCACGTTGATGCCGCCACCGAACTAGGACATGAGTTCTAAAGTCTCAGTACGATGGCTGTCCCGCCCTTCAAACCGAAACACTTACCCATCCATGCGGACTTGTTTTTTATTGTTGTTCGTGTAGGCAGACGAGCTTACCGCCCATCTGGTGGTGAGTGGCTACCGTCGCTCATGGATCTCGGCAATGCCAGGGGCAAAGCCAAGCCGCTGCCTACCGAAAGACTTACAAGATGCCTTACCACCCGTAATTACGCAAATTAAAATCTTTTGCAGGTTTGATTGATATTACGCGATGTTCTTCCTTCATTCTGGAAGGCAGGTATTTGTTTAGAAAAATTGGTACCTGCCGGCGGGATTCGAACACCGGTACAGTCGCATACGAATGCACCGGGCTGCTTATCCTTTAGGCCATGACGACTTCAGACTGTATTGAGGTATTGCTCTCCAATTGGCGGAGTAAGCGGAAAACCTGGCTATTGTTTTTTTGGGATAGAGTCTAGCCTGTACAGTCAGATGCCACAGGTTTGTCTATTTCTGCTGCAAATATTTTTTTTTATTATTTATTATTTCTACGGTTCTGGGTGAAGTATTCATGCAGTCTACATTCGAAAGCAGGGCAGCAATTGCTCCAATAAAATACGTGGTGTGTGTGTGTGTGTGTGTGTGTGTGCGTGTGCGTGTGCGTGCGTGTGTGTGTGTGTGTGTGTGTACAGTTATCAGGAAACATCGAGTTGAGTACGAGTTTATACGATGGTTACTAGCTTTTGCCCGCGACTCCATCCGCGTGGAATACTTACTTTGGCATAGCGTTAAATTTTACCCCCCACTTCATTTACGTAGAAAGTGAAGATATTTTTGAATTACAGAATGTTAAGGAGCTATTTAAACCCCTATTTTGAAACCTTCTTTATTGGTGCTCCACTTGTATTGTTTTTAACGTGATGTTATATAGCCTATGGCCTTCCTCAATAAATGGGCTATCTAACACTGAAATAATTTTTCAAATCGGACCAGCAATTCCTGAGATTAGCGCGTTCAAACCAACAAACTCTTCAGCTTTATAATATTAGTATAGATTTTCAGAAGTCAAACGCTGATATTGAAGACGATTAAAATCCTCTTCACCTGTTTGTTGCCTGTCGTTTCAATTAAAAAACCCTCATGTAGTCATGAATTTAAAAAATAGGAGGCTGCTTATTTTGGTAAGGAGGTAATCATGCAGATTAAGCTTCGAATCCACCATTCGAGATAATCGACGCCGTTAAGCTCAGGTAATTGATAAAAAATAAGCGACCTAAAAGCTCACGAAAAAAGCTCGCCTCGCTATCTCATTAGGTCATCGTATCGATACGTTAAGAAACTAGTTTCAAAAAGAACTTTCACCAGAAGTTTTGGTGCGAAAGAACGATTAATTAATGCGGTGAAACTAACCTGCCTACTGCTAAACCGTATACGAAGTATCCGGGATTGGATTCCGGCAATAGCCTCTAGCTTATTTGGTTTGTGGAGCTTTTAAGGATTTACGTTGCAAAATACTTATATATTTCATTATATATGTACGTGTATGTATATAGGCTTGCGTTGCCGGCGGCTCGAATTAAGAAAATAAACAACTCTTTCGGGGGGCTGGGTGTACAACTTTTCAACAAGATCCCACTAAACGTTCAACTACTACCTGTTCATAGATTTAATAAAACTGTCAAGGAACGTTTGTGCAACAAGGCATATTATAAAGTTAACGATTATTTACTAGATGGCACTACGTGGGAATGAGGCGTTCGCTCCTGGCCTTTTCATTTTTCATTATTATTATTTTTAATTGTATTTTTTGACTTGTTTTCCTTTATTGTAAATATTTTTATTTATTTAAAAAAAAAGAAAATATTTGAGAAAAAACAAAAAAAAAAGCCCGCTGAGTTTGCTTCGCCGGTTCTTCTCAGGACTGTGGCTTTTTTTGGAACCGGTGGTAGAGTTAACATTGTTATTTATATTTTGACATTCAACAAGTGTGTCATACTGACATCTAAGTTGAAATAAATGATTTTGAATTGAATTGAATTTGAATTTGAATATGTTTATGTGTGCTATTGTGTGTGTATATAGTCTGATATATTATGTAGCAGTGTTCTTTTTTATTATTATTGTTATTGTGTATTGTATCAATAAGTAATTGATTAGATTGTACTTTTCTACCCATTTATGTGAAGCTCTCCCTCTTTAAGAACGGCTAGCTGGTAGATAGCTCAATTGTTGAGTTAAGCTCGCAATTTTATAACTTTTCGCAATTATTGTATTGTATTAACTGTGTGTACAATAAAGAATAAAGAGGAGATAAAAGAGAATAAACTAGATTGTGTAATAGCGCTGTGGCGTTTACAGAGATGACTTAATCTTGTGAGCTTCGAGTTTCGACATTGTTTCTTGTCAGCATACAAAACGCTTTTTAAACAATGAACGTCTGATTTAGAACCAGATTTATTTAACACTAATCATACCAACACTTACTGGTACCTATTTCTACCATAGCGGGTAGATAACGATATACGACATATATTACTCAAAATAAACAAAAAAAAAATTAGTATAATAACTATAGATTAATTGGTAGCAAATAGTCATGAAGTCAAATGTGCAAAAGCAATAATATAAGATGATACGTCCATTTTCAATGCAAAAGTTCAAAATGGGTACATTTGACCAGGTATGGTATGTTTAGTGTTAAGGTCATATTCTTTTTGGACTCAACAAAGCAACTTGCAATTTTTTTGTTGATGTCCCAAAGTAGACAATCTCAAAGAACGATTGTCAAGTAACACTGAATTGAAATAACGGGTTGGATATTTGCTCACGCTTTAAAGAATATAATTTAAGTAATATCACCTTCACACTACACCTACCAAGCTTCATCTCTGCACTCCCCTAAGGTAGACTGTTAGAGAATGCCTATGGCATTAAGTCCGCCTTTATACTTTCTAGTATAAGAAGTTATAAATAAATAAAAAAGGACACATCTGCATCTTACATTCCAAAGCAGACGAGATACGGTTCACCTGAGGAGCCAA